ATTGGGCTTCTATAGCCACCTTGGGAACGTTTAGAGTGGAACTTGTTTATCATCTTCAACCTTGGTTCCTTTCCTCGTTTTCAGTCCAAAACACTCATATCAAAAGCTCAAACCACTATGGTTTCTTCATGATAGGCTCTGAAACGTTGGTATGATCACAATAAGTTTACCATTTCCTGATTTCACAGCAGTATGCTCGGTTTCAGTTGGTTTCTGTGATTTCTCTTGATTATGTTGAATCTCTTGTTATAGATGTGTACTTTCTCTCAAATGGCTTGTTCCTTATCATTCAATTGCTCCAATTAGCCACTAGCATCTCAAGTAAATGATTCTTTGAAAGCTTGAAGCTCTTCTTTTTATTGTCTCCTTGAGTACTAATTTTTAACCCAAGTTTTTGGTTGGAATGCCTCAAGTATATATATATATATCTTTCAAAGGGTGTTTTTGTGAAGTACTAGATTATTTCGATGTGATTTTTGTTCCAATTTCATTTTGGGATTTTGGTACATCAAAATGAATATCTCAAGGGTTATTTCAAAGTTGGTTTTGTGCCATTTGAATTTAAATTGATTTTTTGTGAAATTTCAAAGTAGAGATTATCCTGCTGGAATTGTTTTGATTCTGCTGCATACCCTGTTTTGAAGTAAGTGTTTGAAGACTTCCTAAACTTGGATTTTCATGAAATTTTAGTATGTTTTACTTTCTTGTATTGTCTTCAGATCTGGAAAATTTTATCCAGTTTGGTTGTAAATTGTAATTTTGGTGATTTTTCAAAATAAAATGTACAAACCTGAAAAAAAAACGTTATGCAGCCTAGTCTGTTTTGGGTTTCTATTTTGACATGCTTCCTTAACCCTAATTTTTATCAAATTTTGACATCTTTAACTTTTCTATGTCTAGTTGTGATATGGAAAGTTTTACATTATTTTGATTTAAACTCAATATTTAGTGAATTTTCAAAGTTAACGTGTTCCAACCCAAATGTTTAGCAAAACTGAAATTTTAGTTTTAAATTGATGTTTTTAAACTTTCTTTATGAGTCTAGAGCCGAACCACTTGATTTTAAACATCCCAAAGAGTAGAACTATTATAGGAGGGGAATAGATTAGTTTTTCCTTAACGCTTGGTTCTATGCTTGCTTGGATGTGAGGTTAAGGAAGTAACAATCGGGTCAAACAACTTGTTAAGTGTATTTTGGGGTTTTAGGTCTACGTGCGCTAGTAGGACACTCAACTTTGTTTCCTTATTTCCAATGAATTTTAATCAGTAAATTATCTTAACTAGGTGTTCTACTCTGCGTACTTTCGAGGACGAAACTGCACAAGGTTAAGCTAGCTGGACTTGAGGTAGGGTTTCCTGATTTCCCGATGATTGGGCTATATCACTTTTAATCTTGGTGCTTATATATAGTATTATAAATATGAATATTATTGTTGCTTTGCTCGATGAATATTATTTAATGTTATGTAAATAGTATTATTGATGTTTTTCCATGGATATTATTTGATGTTTTGTGAATATTATTATTCATGTGATTAAGCCTGATATATTATTGTTATTATCTGTGGCATTATTCAGCAGCAATAAATGATGTTTGTGCTGCATTACATATGCATCATAAAGACAGTGGTGTTTGGAGTGTGTGTGTGTTGTTTGAGATATATCTAAGGGGTGGGAGAAGGCTTTAGATATATCTGAATAAAATGTGGAGTATATTCAAGTGACGGAAGCAGAGCTTGAATATATTGGGGTGATGGGAGCAGGGCCTCTAATGATAAGTGAAAGTTGAGAAATTCGTAAACAAAAGAAAAATGGGTTAAGGGACGGATGGGAGCTAGTTCATATTTTAGGGTATTCGGAGCCACAGTGGTAAAACGTATGGTATGGGACATGCAGGCTTGCTGCCCTAGGATATGAATTAGTGGGATTAGAAGGGAGTGAGTTCATAGCATCACCGCATATGCAAACTTATTTATCTGGTATGATTGCATAATTGGTATATCTTGTGTTGTTTGATGCATGACACTTTGATTAACAGTGATAGCTGACTTTGAGGGGTTTGAGGGTACTCTACTGGGCATTAGAATGCTCATACCCTAATAGATTGTGCAGGATTCAAAGAATTCAAGACGAAGTTTGAGGAAGCGGGTTTCAACCAAGCTGCTAGGATTTTGTTGTTGATTTGTGTAATTAATCTTTGTAAGTAGTCAACCGTTTGTTCAAGATCTTAGTGTGTAGTTAATTACAAGCTACTGCGGCTCTAATTTTGTAATGTTAAGTGAATTTGTATTTTTGTGGCTCTATTTCTCATCATATCATGGTTGTAGGATTTTATTCTTATGACTATGGTATGACTCACGCCATGATTCGGTAATATTCTTTATTTTCGAATCGGGTCGTGACAGTTGACGTCTACAACTAATTTAAATACCAAGAATAAATAATATAAATAAATAAATAAAAACCATATTTTTTTTCTATAAATACCTAGCTGTGTTCTTCATTTCCCACACCAAAAATTCATACAAATTCCTCTCCTCGTATCTCATATGAATAGTGCTTGCCTTTACTTGCCATGGCAATAGTTGGGAAAGCAAAATTAAAAAGGGTAGGGCAGTCACTATTCATGTAAATAGTGTCTACCCTTGCCCTTGCCCTTTTCCATGGCACAATGGGTGAAAGTGCTCTAATCTAATGCAACAGTTCTTTATTTAATTTAACCAAGCCACATAATAAAATTACTACTTTGGTATTTCAAAATAGCCTCAAAATACAAAAACATATATATAAACAAAGAAAGCCATTGCATTAATCTGTTTCTTACAAATCAAAGAATCCATGGGTGAAGCATTGGCTGGTGAGGTGTGAAGAAGAAGCTACAGTGGGTGAAGAAGAAGAATTCAATAATATCTAATGAGGACTAGCCTCTCCGTACGCTCTTCCACGCTTGCGAGGGGCTTTTTCTTTAAAAATTTAAATTTATTTTATAATTAAAAAAGATAATGGGTAGTTGTGTTCCATAAAAATAGAATCCATTGTATGATTTTTCTTTTAATTTTAATTTTAATTTTTTTAATATGAAAAAGTGTGAAACCATATTATCCTTATTTAATTAATAATTTCAATTCTTAATGTTTGAATTAACCAATTGCATTTTCTGATATTTTGAATGTTTTACCATTCTGTGCCTTTTGATTTATATATATAGATGAAGGGACATAACAGTGATGGAAGAAGAAACATGTTATAATATTTAGTTTTAAAAAAAAAAAAAAAATTGGAGATGACATTGTTATTTAAAGGTTAACACTGTCAAGTTTTAGTTAATTGGTTTTAAATTATGATGCACAAGATTGATCACATTTGCTAACTACCTTATATGGCAGCTGACGTGGTCATGCCATGTCATTTAATGAATATTGCCTTGTAGATTTTATTTTTCTTTCTTTCTTTTTTTAATAATTATTAAAAACAGAAATTAAGAGTGAAATGAAAAATTAAAAAACCCTAAGCGTCCCTGGACTCTTCGTCTCCAATGCTTTCTTCTTCCTCCATCAAATCTACCCATCCTCATCCTCAATTGTTGTTGAGTTTTGAATTTTTTTCAATAAAAATGAAATAAAAGAACCCTAACGTTTGTAGCCTCACGTCATTCTCTACTCTGTCTCTCTCATGCCCTCCCTTCCTCCTCCAAATCTATCCATCCTCATCCTCCATTAGGAAAAACAACTTGAAGAATGGAGAGGTTTTCTTGTCAATTAATCTCCAAAACCTCTCACAAAGAGGTTGAAGGTTGAGGTACATATTCAATTTTTAGTGTAGTTAATTCTTTTCACAATGGAACAATAATTGAGGATGGGAATGGGTCGATTTGATGGAGGAATGGAGTGCAGGAGAAGAAATATAGAGACGCAGGGTTTTTTAATTTCTTTTTTATTGAGAAAACTCCAAATCTCAGCAACAATGGAGGAAAGGGGTGGGTAGATTTGATGGAGGAAGAAGGGAGCAGTGGAGACAATTCTAGGGACCTTTTTTTAAAAAGTTTTAAAATTTCACTTTTGATTTCTGTTTTTAATAATTATTAAAAAGAGGAAATAAATAAAAATAAAATCTACATGGCAATATTTATTAATTGACATGACATGATCACATTAGCTGCCACATAAAGTTGTCAGCAAATGTGATCAATTTTGAGTGTCTAAATAGCATTACTCATAAATTATATGACACGTGTCAAAAATTTAAGAAATGGACAGCGAAGGCATAGAGAGAAAAAGGGAGACGATATGAACTCATAGTGTAGTGGTTTGGAGTAATTGCTACCCCATAACCCAAAGCAACACAATTATCTTCTTTATTCTTATCCTTCCTTCATACTATTTTCTACATTTTCTTCCTTCAATACGATAATGAGGAAGGCAAAACAGATGTTATTAGATTATGATGCAACAATCTCATCTAAAAGTTAAAGTTGCCAAAAGTTAATGAATGCGGAGTTGACATATCCGATGAAATATTTGAGTAAGAATATATTTACAGTGCTTGTGAATTAAGGGGATAAAACAACCGTTTACCTTCTTTTTTTCTTAAAGAAAATTGAAACGTTGTTGCATATATAATGGGAATTTTCCATTAAAATATTAAATACAGCCATCTATATCACCAGATATCAGTATTTATCAGTTGTCATGTTATCTGTGCTGCAACTGAAAATTGAATGTAAGATCCTCTACTTGTGTTCTGGTGATTGTATTCTACTTGTGTTTTGGTGATTGTATCCTGCTTGCGTCCTAAATCTAAATGGCATCTCGTTCTTCTCAAACGGATGACCTGAAAGCATGAAAGTCACCTACCTAACCTGAGAAAAGAAAAAGGTGGCTAAGAAAAATACAAGCAGAGAGACTGACTGATCAAATCTAGAAAGGTGCCCTCTAGCTCAAATGAAGGATATAAACAAATAAATAATGAATGCATTTGGTGCGACTTCGCATCAAATTTTCTCAAGAATCAATTCCCCGCTGAAATATTTAGCATGAGTTTACTTTTAAAGGGGGAATGTAAGGTTTATTCCACCAGTTACAAGAGAAGAGACCTGCAGACAGGACAGGAGACATTTCACCTTCTGAGAAGAGATGCCTGTAAACTACTCATCAATTGCTCCATCGCTAAGCAATCTCCTAGAAGTTAGAACCACCACATGTTTCTTAGAATTTATGATATCATGTCATATATTCCCCGCAGAGAACGGAACACTGCGGTGCACTCCCCTTAATTAAAACAAAGCAGGGATTAATTGATGGGGAGTGAATGCAACATCAACAAACGCTGTTATGATATTAGCATGTCAAAGAGGACTAGAAAGTCATTTCATTATAGTGTCCCAGTCCCAGATGCCAATCGAACTACTAGTGGAGAAATCATCCCTGCTCTTGAGAGCTTTCTGGATGGCAATGGAGGAGATCAGAGTTCTCCCTCAAAATCGAGAGTTGAAGATGGTGATCAAGACAATGATAATCATAAAAGCTTTAAGCAGCTGATCGATGGGGATGAAAAAACAAAGCTGATCATCAAGTCGGGTGACCAAGGGAGCAGAGCAAGAAGTTCACTAGGTCAACACTTCACTGACGAAGAGAAGCACCTTCAACTGGTCAAGAAGCAGCAAAAAGCAGTGGGTTTACAAGGAGTGAAGCTGAAAAAATTGGTGAGTCGTTGCGCCAAAGTTTTTAGACATTTGGTCAAAGCCGAGAGCGATCCAACCCTAAGAGAACCCAGGCAGGCTGTTCTTCGCTTAACTATGTAAAGCAATAATCTTTAGTTGCTGTCAGCTGAAGTATTTTCCGGAGGCTGGTCATCTTCTGATTACAAATGCAACATTAGTTTTGACCGTGGTCAAGACCTACATATTTGAGTCCTCTTTCAAATCTTTACTGAAATGCTTTGTCTTCTCTTCTACATGTGTTCTATATATGTAATGTTGCGCAATTAAGAGGTTATTCTTTTCAGTTTTGTGTAGTCAGAAATACTTAGTATTAATCGATTCACATGCCTAAATAATCGGCAAAACCGTAGGCTGTAGGTGATATAAGGCCATCTCTGAACGTTCCTTGCAATAACACAAACAAATGAATGTTTGGTGAAATAATTATATACAGAACTTCCTGCAGTCATGCCAGCAGTGTATTCAATAAAAGAATACAACCAAGTGAAGAATAGCACGGCTTTGTGCACATGATCAATTGCTGAAAAATTCAGCTTCTCCTAAAGCACTGCAAAGCTAATTTCGGTCAAGCATCTTTTTGAACACATCATAGAACTTTGTGTCAAATTTGCTTTCTCATAGACGCTATACCAATAGAGGCTCCATTAAAGGTTTACGGCGAGCAGGTTGGAGTTCCATGGTGTAAGTAACTATCACAGAGATGAGTGAACAAAATGCCGGAACAAAACCCAAACCGAATCTTGTGACTGAGAAGTAGACATCATTTGAATGGTTTTCCTGTATGACTCGTGTACCTGCATGTAAAAAAATTAAACTATTGGCATACTAGAAGTCATCACTTTTCATTCCCGAGTTTTGGCAACCATGATTTAAGAAGTACATAAAACAACTCTACAATGTCTAACTTAATTAGGCCTAAAGACCCCGCATATGTGCGCCTCAATGCTATTCGACTAGTAATGAAATCACTCATTATATATGTTAAATTTAATTTTGTCAAGTTTCGATTTGGGACTTCACATTCTTCAACAATGTGCACCCCATTAAGTAATGATTGGATCTATTTCCATGTACCCCTACGTTGATTTAAAGCTTAACCATCCGAAACATAGACTTCAAAATGCAATTTTTTATCTGAAAGGGAGATCCCACTACCCAAACTCTTTAAACCTGATGAACTAAGAACCGCATAACAATTTTATAGATCCAGTTCAACAAAAGTAAGAAAAAAGGCAAATAACCAATCATGTATCTTCCTAAATGCACACATATATTATTCAATAGAAACAGATGAGCATAAATACATATTTAATATAGCTAATGATCCACAAAACTGTAACTTACTTTGATATGACTGAAGCACAAATAAGGCAAGCCCACAAGAGATTTTGTCCATGAAGCTTAATGATCCACATACAAATGCGCAGCCATTGAGATCTCTGTCGATTAGAACACTTTGCATACTTACTCCAGTCACCTGTTACATCTGAATTTATAAGCAACTACTACATTAATGGATTAAAAATGGCAGTATGTTTTCAAACCACTAGGAGTTCCATCAATAAAAGCTCTAGTTTTCTCTAATCTCGAGCTTCATACTCGGAAATAGCTAAACGTAGAGTGAGAAATTTCAATCCCTAAAGGTCATTTCAAAGCAATCTACAGTGTTCTTACAGAGTTCTGAGCTGTCTCATGTTTTCAAATCCGTAGTACCACTTAAATCAACGGAGTAAACATCTATCATCTTTTACATTGTTGACAAAATATCAGCTGGCAGGCATATGATATGGTCCAGCTTTCTAAGGGCAGTGTGCTCCTGTCCTTTAATATTTGTTTCAAGTATTAATGTTAACATACTTCATATTTCTTGTCTTGAACCAATTGAAACCCTAATCCCAAAGAACCAAACCACTTAAATTCAATTGAGTTCAAAATCATGACAATGCTTCATTATCTTCCTTCCAAAATGCAACCAATACAAAATGCACTTCAAAATTTCATGAAGCGAAGATGAAAGCACCAAATTTGACATTATACCATCATTAGTGCGTTTGCTATGCCAATAGATACGGATATAATGTACATGAAAGCACTCATGCTTCCAGGTAAAAACAGGATCCCTGCCCCACAAAATATCCAAACAATGGCTCCAGCAGAATAGCAGGCCTTCAAGCATTGGCCAGTCCACGAGATCTCCTATAATATGAATACTTAATGGTTAGATATCAACACAACAAAGTACTTATGAATAAGAATTTCAACAAAAAAACTGAGTTTCATGGGGACCTGTAGTATTATAGATACGAGGAAGCTGCTAATGTAGATCATTGCAGGAACCTATTCCCATCAATAACAAAAGATAAATCAGTCTTGCATTCTTCAAAAATTAAATAATCTCTAACATCAGAAGAAATATAATGACAATAGTTTTGTGATAGTACCAGAGCTTTAGCTGATTGTGCCATCTGCAGATCATCTATAACATAGAATGCAAGATATGCCTGAACAAAATAAAGCCATCTAGATATAAGAACTGCAAAGGTTGAGACCAAAACCTGGCAATAACTTCTATTATGCGGGGATAATATTGCAAAAATGGTTTCCTAGGGAAGTCACTATCATAAGGGAGTTCTCAACTTGGATGCTCAGTAGGGACTATCAGCTGTCCCTTTCTTACTAGATACAGTAAAAATTGAGTTATTTCTTTTCATGAAGAAAAACAAGCATCACAAAGAGGGAGGAAAAAAAAGTCCTGACCTGTGAAACATTGACCACTAGTCTGGTAAGCACATAAACAAGAGCAACCTGATAATACAGAACTCTCCTGAACCAGTATGTCCATGAAATCCTTAAATGATTATTTCCTTGTAAGCTTACTTTTAATCTGAACGTGTAATAAACTTGATTAGTACAATCAACTATCAGCAGTTGGATAGTTACAACTTACAAGATTTTAAGGATTATTACAGAAAAAATATGCTTCACTTTTTAGAAACAGACACAGTAACATTTGAAATCTGAGAACAAACCACTCATGTGGATGCATGCCTAAAGGCTAACAACATAAAGAATACTAATGACGGACTTTCTGATAAAGATAGGGAAAGAACAGAGGAGAAAATTGAGTAAATAGAGAGCAAAGCAGTTGATGAATCAGCAACAGCCAACACTTAAACCAAGAATAGGAAGAAAGTCTTGCTGCTTCTGGACCTGTGACCTGTAAGACGCTAGAATGGTTTTTTGAGAACTCAGTGAGAGTGAAAATCAGGGAGCAATCTAGTGCTATTTTGTTGGGTCTCAACAACAGGGGGCCTGGGAATCAGAAACAGGTAAGCCGATAATGCTCAAATCAGGAAGAAATAGGTGTTGACAGAAGAGCATTTGCTCAAATCCCCACACGGGTGCAGGGGGCAGGGGGGCTGATAGAAATGTGCTTTTTGTAAAATAAATACAAATATTCTTCTTGCAGCCCGCATGAAAAATGCTTCTTAAAATATGATAATGATAAATAAAAATCTGTATTTGGTGAACATTATGAATCAAAAGTGAAAAAGAAAAATCAGCAAACCTTGGCTCTTTGGTTCCGAGATGAAATATACCCACAAAGCAGCATCCTATGAAGATTGACAAATATGCAATCCACCGGTACTGCTCATTTGTGATAGTGATGTGATGGACATGCTTGAAGAGAAGCCCTTAATAGGTAGATCACAAATGCTTAGAAAATGATAATACCTGATTTTCAATGTCCGCATGTGTGCTTGCTATAGTGACACCAAAGACTATAAAAGCAACTGCATACAGGCTGAGGTTGGCAACCTTCAAAAGATTTAAAATTTTTCAATAAACACAAACACAAAAAAAAAACATGGAGCTGATTAATCAATTCAAAAATTCAAAGGGAAACTAACCATAGTAAAAGCATTTCTACAGCTAGCTAAGATCACTCTGCTTGTTGAATTCAGTGTAATGCAATTCAACATAGACCTGCAATAGAACAGTTATTTTTCATAAGTGTTTAGATATTCCAAAGCCCAAAATAACATGCCTTTTCATTTTTTTTTCCCTTAAAATGAGGGGGTGGGGGGAGCAGGCTCACTAATGCTCCAAGCTTATTGCATTTCACAAAATAGCTCTGTTCACTCAATGTAATAATCAGTCTTAAAACGAATGAACGACAAACATGAATCGAGATAAAAAATACAGAACTACATAGCAAACTGAAAATGGCAACGCTGCCATTTCAAGTTCCAATTTGTTAGAAAAACAAAAACAGGATCTGTGTAGGTCATTTCAATTATAACAGAGGATGAAGATGTTTTGTTCTTCAACAACACTAGGTTCACCATCTTATCAAATGGTGGTACACTTATAAACTTTTACTGTAAACTTTGAGGAAGTACTTACATGTGTGAAACCTGAGTAGCTGCCCAACCCACATTAAATATAGCAGCAAACATACTGTAACCAACAGTTCGCAATGTTGATGAAGAGGTACCAAAAATTTTACAAGGCATGCAACCACCAAAAACGGAAGAAAAAGAAATAGCAACCAAAACAGAGCCTGCACCATGCCACAATTTGAAATGTCCAAACCTGTCTATCTATCAAGTTAAAAATAGAAACAGAATATTATTGCCCAGAAAAAGAGGTGGTTGCAATTGCCAAAACTGAAAAGGAAATAAACAAATTTCACAATAATTAATTGGTATGTTTTTTTTTCTTCTGGCCTGGTATGATTTCAATAATTTGGGAAATAGAATGGGTGGATCGGATCACAAAGGCCTTGTCATTCTACTCTTGCATCTGCAGCAAGAACAGAGATCAATGAAGTCTTGACTAGATTCTGAACAAATTTTCCTGTCTTCTCATGTGGTTATATAACACTGTCCAAAAATCATCTCGATTCAATAGTCTCTATATCTCCCCCAATCAAAAAGGACATGATCCTTGAACATATAATAACCATTTCTAATACCCCCAGCTTGCCCAGAAATACATATGGACTCGAACAACAAATAAAAAAGCTGCTCGATGCTATAATTTCCTATTCCATTATCATGATAGAAGCAAAAGCACAAAATTTAGGCCATGTAAAATGACTGGCCAAGAAAAAATCCATGTGAAGTGCAGCCAAAAATTACAGAAGAGTAGAAGTTAAATGTACAGAGACCAATGGGGTGTTAGTTGGACTGGTCAAGGCCTTTGGTGTGCTCCCAAGTGGTCTTGGGTTCAAGATCCCATGGTACTTGTATGTGTGTGAGTTTCCCCCCCTCCCCCTCCCCCTTCCTAAATTTGGGCA